AGAGAATTCACACCAAGCTAGTGGGTGTGTTGATGACACTTCTTGTTGCAACTGGCCCAAACCATTTGACCGGCACAAAACCATAAGTGAATCCCAATTCCACTAACTACATCTGCTTGTGTCTTTGTCCGGCCCACGTAAGATACAAGAAGAGGAGAGAGGAAATGAGGAAACATTAACTGACATGAGATGTCCTTTCCTCCGATCTTTCATGATCCTTCCAGTAAAGAGGCGTATCAATCTATAACAGACTTCCACAAAAGATGACATGCACATGTCCTCGATTATAGCTCCTCCAGGTAGCATTCCGCCTCCTCAGAGCAGAAATAAGAGCTTTAGGACATCCTTCATCATGGCCAAGCAGAGTGACTTCTAGGTCGAGCAAGGATCAAGGACCAGGGGGTCACCTCTTGACAGTCATTGCCAAAGGGGAGTCTTAAGTTGATTCCCTTGGCACCATAGTTTCTGATCTCCAGGCAAAACATTTTGTAATTGTTTATTAGCCTGTGAAGAAATGCCTGAAGTATTGGCCAACTGTGTTTATGTTATACCGTGTTCACTGGGGTGATGTCAGCTATCATCACCTAAATATACTTATTTGGTTAAATGCATGTATAGTCACCATTTCATTCACATCAGCTGGATTAATAAATCTACATAATTACCATCCTCAAACAATGTTATACTTATGTATGTACTTATGTAGTCATAACGAGGACCTAAATTACAGCAAAGCTGCCCTTCCACGCACCCTGTGCACCCATCTCTAATTTGAAATTTCTCCATTACATTTGCTGTAGGAACCATTTGTTTACTGTATTTTTGTAGTCAATCTCATAATAGATTTTAAACTGCTTGTCATTGGCTGCCATCAGTTATCATTCAAGTTATATTAGGTATGCACTGTCACACTGCCAGCATTTTTCATGTCACTATTTACTTCTCACAAATGTGACTGTGGTTCAACTGATGTGCTCTACTGCCTGTATGTTTGGTTGGAACATGCACAGTCAGTACAGAGCTCAGATGTCAATAAGTTCTACAGAGGAGGTCATCCGTCTCAAACAATCTTCTATTAATGACTATTTCACAATATAAATTACAGCAGAGTGGCTTAATATGGTCAGCGGGCCTCACTGTTTTTGTATTATACAGTATTTTTGCAGATGTGACACAACTAGAAAAATATCCGAGACCTCCTGCAGCTCTCCGCATCACCTGTGCCAAAATTTGCATCTCTCTCCAATGTAGCTTGCTAAAACAAATTAAGTTGTTTGGGAGGGTAATTTGCACTGCCTCTCTATAACAAACAGGTGATGTCAGCACATTCTCAGTGTCCCTTTATCCGGAATCTACTGAAAGGTGATTCTCACCAAGCAATGCACCCGCAAACTTAAAATGGCCTAAACTGCCAAGCCATTTCCTTTGGATCAGATGAACTATGCTCTGAATATATGGTAACACTCAATTAAAAAGTCATTCCCATTCTGTAGAGTTTGTAATTGAGTGTGTTTACTTTAGCTTCAAGAAGAATCTCAGTCATCAATAGTGGAGCCCTTGCAGATGCGAGTAGGACCCTGATTTTTGTTTGTACTGTAATTACAATGGCACAATATGCAGCAAACAACCTCTCACTTATTTCTGTTTCTAATAAGACTGAGTTTGGTTTTCTACAGACAGCGAATTGCTTTTTATACGACCACATTCAAAGAAATATATTAATAACCATCAAATAAGTACAGTGAATTTACTAAAATCGTTATTTATGTCTTGGTTAAGGCAGGTTTACCCTTCCCATTTAATAATATTTATTAGCATTCTGTCCTGATCATATTTTGAAACTTTGACTTAACAAAATCGGTGTACTGTAGCTGTCATCAGCTTGTTTCTTTCATAAGCCCTCACTGTTTGCTGCTTTTCTCATTCTTAGCCACACTGTGACTGTCATAGCTCAGCTGTCACTCAGAGAATCACCATGCTGTGCTACGCCATGTACACTCATGTATACTGTCCGGTCTGCTGCTGCCGGCTTGCTCTCAGTCAGATGAAACAACTGTACACTCTGTTCTGAACTATGCTTTAATTAAAGCAAATGCCAACATTTAATTAAAAGTAGAGCTGAACGCATATAACCACCTCAACATAACCATAGCAACTTTCTACACCGTGTGCAGCTGACTGGGTCTAGCATGAAGGAGGACGCGCACAAACAAACACACCCATGCACAGTGACATCACCATTTAGCAGTACAACACAGACTGCCTGCTATAGTGCATGTGTAGCTGCTGACATTCACTCGGGTGAAGCGGGATACACCAACAAGGTACTGTAAACCAACCTACATCAGCTAATGGAAAGTCTTTTTACTTGGACACCTTTACAAAAGGCAGCAGATTTGATAGTTTTAGTTACTAGTTTTTTCATAATTAGGTTAATAATATAACACAATGTAATCATAACTACTAAGCTGTATGTAAAGTCATTCAAAATAAGCATATAGTTCTAATAGCGCCACCTTTACCATCTGCAAAATTGTGATGTGCACAATAATCAATAGTTATAACCCAGTGAAAGGATATACATTAATGCTATTTCACACAGAGTACCTTTACTTTAGGTACTTTAATTATATTTTGATGCAAATACTTTGGTGCTTTTACTTAAGTAAAAATTTTTTGCTGGACTTTTAATTGTAACCGAGTATTTTTACTCTTTAATATTGCTACTTTTACTTAAGTAAAGAATCTGAGTACTTCAGAATCGAGTTAAAAAGTGTTGGAGCATCCGTGGCAAAGTGACCATCATAAGCCAGGCTAAACAGGTAGTACTCGGTCGTGTTAGGGTACGCATTAACACTGTTGTACAGCCTATTCAGTACCTGAATCTTTTGCATTACTTAGTCAGTTTGAGCATCTAATTCAACAGATAAGACGATGACATCAAATTACTGATGTTAGTATGGAATACTACTGTACCTTGTATAAACATTGCACCTGCATGTTTGTGCACAAAAAACTTAAAATGAAATATTCAAATTTTAAGCATAGTCCTATTACATCAGCACGCCAATAAAACTCAAATAACTGCAAAGCTGTCTCCTTTGTTTGTGCATCGTCTGAACACATTAGTGTAAGCAAAATAAACATCTGTGCTTCATTATTTCTCAACTTATCACAATTTATCTGATGTGTAATGCTCATATCTTGAGAATTAATTAAGTTAAGGTGTTTGTTTTGCTTACACACAATGTGCTAACAAATAAGTCACCACTTACAGTAGGAGTCATTTGGCCGTTAACAGACTGTTGAGGTCTATGCTTAAAATGAAAAGTTTAATTTCCCATAAACTGTGAAGCTCAAAATGTTTATTTTGCTGCTCAAATGATTCACAACTTCAAAAAGGTACAAAAAGACTAAGCTGGTGCAACTTTTTACTGTACACTTGTTAGTTGAATTAAATTTGAATTGTCAGATGAGCCTGAAAGGCTGGTTCGCTACAAAAAAGAAAGGATGATGGTGACCATGGAGGTCCTGAGGTCACCCTTTAAGTTAGAGACGTGCTGTTTCCTTTGGATGTTAATATGTAAATGTAAGAATAACCTATAGCGATGCTAAGCTCAGCGTAAGCTGCTCCTCCAGCACTGCTGCTTAGAAAAAAAAAATCTGGAATGTAAGAATTAAAAGGAATGGCATTACTCTGAGCAGGGACGGATCATGGTCAAACTATAAATATGACAACAACTGTTAGTTATTTATGTTTTAAAACTATAAACTTTCTACAGTGCAGACAGCAAAACATTCTTCACTGAGGAGAATTAAGATTTGTGTTTTTTTTTGCAGAACCTACATACACTTGTTTGGACTGGGTCATTGAACTTGGTCAAAATGAACAAAACTGAAGAGACATTGCAGCTGCAGGTGCTCCACAGATCCACAGAAGTACGTATTATGAGATGTCCTTTCATTTGTCCTTGTCCCTTGGTGCTCGTACTCACATAATTACACACGTTTGTTTGAACACTCCTACTTCCCTTTCTTCTGGACAAAATATAACCAATATTGAAATGTTCTTGTAACCCTTTCAAATATCAACTAATCCACTTTTCCAATCTGTAGCACAAACTGTACTGTATGTTGGTTTGCACCAGCCCCTCCACTGCTTAGAAGACCTGGCTGCCTTGAGTCTGAGGTTTGATCTCCAATAATTGTACATAACACACCTATAATAAGGCAAAACTACAAGGTTCTAGCAGATTCAAAAGCGATAGCTTGATAGAGTCTTAAGGCTGAAACAGAATGGTAATTGGAAACTGATAATCAATTAAACATTTAAGTTATTTTCCTGCTTTTCTTTGCCTAAAGTGGCACTAAACTGAACTATCGTTTTTTTTTTTTGTTTTTTTTTTACTGTTGCTCACACAAAACAAGCTATTTAGAACCATACTATTTCATAATTTTATAGATCAAACAACTCAACTAAATCAAGAAATGTTATTTCCAGCCTACTTTAGTAACAATTTAGAAGACATTAACACTGCATGGCAGATATGGCTATACTCAGACTTATTGTGGGGATTAGTAAAGTACTATGGTTTGCATCACACATTAATGCCAGTATAAACTGCCCCATTCTACTACTAGTGTACAAACTTCAGTCATACTATAGCCACACCAGAGAACACGACCTGAAAGAGAAAAATAAGCATTCACCTCTGACATGTTAAGTTGTAGTTAGATGTGAGAGCCCAGCTCTCTGAACACACTAACTGCTGCAGTCCAAAGCCAGCAGACTGTCAAAGAGCAATCACACCGACCACTGAGCACAGCAACAATCTGACAAGACAGTGCAACTTCTGAAAACAGCATCACGCAGAGGAGAATCCATAACACAACTGATGTTCATTAAGCAGCACGACCAGCAACCAAGCTCTAAACACTGCACCACAAACAAACACCTAACCACCAAACTGCATCTCACAGTAAATTAAATTAGGTCTTACCTTTAGAAGAGCTTCTTCTTTAGCCTTGTGTGTGCAGACTGAACAATCCAGTCCTCAAATTCCATCGATCACACCAGGTTGAACTCCACAGCAGCAATGACAGCACAATCAGTCAGTGATTTGCCCATGACAGCAACGCGGTGCTGAAGCTTATTGAATAGTCGCTTCTTTCCAGTGCGCCATTATAGCCCCACTTTATTTAGGATTTGAATAAATGTTGTAATCCCTTCGTCGATTTCCCCTCTGAAGCAGGTGACTTGTTCAGTGCAGCTCCCCAGCAACCTCACGCCGTTCCTGTGCACTTGGAGCTGCTGCAGGCCCCATTCTTTCTGCTCTGACTGCTGGCCTACTGGGTTCCCTCACATTTTTGCTTTATCTGCCCCACAAGAGCTGTCGTTTTACAAGCCTTGCCAAGCAAACACTACTTGCGTTGCCGATGACAGCCCTGATGCTGGCGGTGGGACTATTGCATCTGCTCCAACACAACTGCTATCTTTGCAGCTGATGTGCGACTGTGGCCACTCTTAACAGCAAGACTGACTGATGACAGCACCTGTTGCTGATGTCCTGACTTCAGAGGAGGCTGTCTCTGCCTCGCAGAGGTTTTACTGACACAAGACTGAAATTTGGGGCACATTTTTAATTCGACCTTGAACTTGTGTGCACCACGCCAATAACCGCTTTCTGGGTGCTAGCTGAACGGGTGGCTGGTGCTCATACAGATGCTAGCTGGTAGCACGTTGAATGTATGGCAGACAGGTGAACTTCCCAGCTACAGTTTCTGAAAATTAACTTTATTATCAACCATGTGGAGGCTAACAAAATGGACACTTACTCCAGCAGACGACAGGTAAAGTTCATTTAAGTCAAAAGTCCATACAGTTCATTTAAATCCGGCAGGACCGGAAAACTGCTTGACACTATAGCACTTTACGACCTAATTATGAAGACTCCGCGAACGACTGCCCCTAGTGGCTGGAGGCTGTATTACAACAAGATAAGATAAAATAAGATAATCCATTATTGTCATTGTAACACGTACAACGGAATTTTTAGAGTGACCTCCAGTTGGTGCACGCTGAAAAACATAACATATGAAATAAGACCATATAATAAGACCAAATAACACTTTTTTAAAGTTAATTGACAAGTACAAACTACTAATGGCATGATTTTTGAAAGCACCCTCACTTTACTTTGAGTGCCTAAAATGTTTTAACAATATAAACTTTACTTATAAAGCACTTCTCACAAGAAAAGTTACAAAGTGCTTTACACATGAAAATGCACATACAACGGTTCAGCCCAATTATCAATCTGTACACTAAAAGGGCACAAAGTAAATAAAAACTCAAAAGAACTGAAAACATACCCACTCATTGTATTCTGAGGTTTCTGTCAGTATACTCTACTAAATTATTATTATTTTCATTCAGATTATACAAGAATTATTTTGTTTGCAATCAGTAAGCTTTTGTGAGACTCCGACTGTCCCACTGGATAAGACTCACTGGACATTTTTACAGTTGACTGAATGTTTACACAAGGTTTACTGTCTGATTTACATTTGGCTGAAATTTTTTTTTGTGTTGCCTGGGTTCTGTTTGTTAAATTTACACTTAATTCCTTAGCTTCTTACAAACCTAGCGCCAGTCGTAATTACCCATTTATGATACTGGTGTATCATAGAGACCAGAAGTTCTCATTTAGGTTCCTGCTCAGTTTGATTAGGTGCATGTGGCTTTTTTTGCAAACAAAATGCTGTTTGAAATTTGGTACCAGGATTCCTTTCATACAACGCATGCCATCTTTTCACTGTGCCTGTAACATCCAAAATTATAAAATACTTGAGAGGGTTGAGCTATTTAGATGTCTTTTGAAAATCAGACAGTGATGGTTCTTACCTAAGTAAGATGTTTGCTGGGTGCTTTTTAAGTTTTTCAAAGAGATACCAGATAAAACTATCATTACCATCTCCTTGGTATGAGCTGTGACCAAGGATACTGTGCCTCTGAAAGCAACGCTTCCTGTGACATTCCTCTGTTTGATTCTCTGCAGTAACCTTGGCAATTGCCTCAATCACAGGGAATTAATTCCAGTCATGCCACTCCCTCCTCCTCCGCTGACTTGTATCTGGCCATTGCATTGTACTACTGGCCCTGATTCACCCTGAATACTAGCCAAGCCCAATGATTTTCAGGTCCCCAGGCCCATATTGGTATCTGTCTGCCTTTGCTCTCACAAAGGGGGCAGCCTTTTGTCTGCCACACTTTTTTTATCAGGCACATCGTGACAGAATCAGTCCTTTTTTTATTTCCACAAATTATATCAAAGTGCAACATTTTCTTTGCTTAACAATGTTCAGTCCCTGTGTATTGTAGATGGCAATTACTGCATTTTTTTGTCAAGTACTGGACTGTGCATTTCAGACTTAGATTTTACCAGGGAATCCATATGACTGAAATCCAAATGCTAAACAATAAAAAGTAAAGAATGCAATTGTTTTGCGCAAGTTGGCATGCAGCTTATATGTACCAGAGGTATATTGCTATACCAGCACTTAGCATGCAATTAGATTTTTAAATTCACAAGCTGAAACATTTAACACTGCCACTGTAGCAATGTAATATGTTTGTTGTTGTTTTTTGCCCGGTACATTATATTTGTTCTGCCATTTAGGCCAGCATCAGTTTAAGAATAAGAAAAAAATCCTGATAAATGGATGAGGTTACATGAGAATCTGCCAAGAAAAGCTGCTGTTGTGCATCAATGGATTTCCAGGTAAATGTTCCAGTGATATTGTAGAAGCCTTTTTCTAAGGAGCTTGGAGATTAATCATTGGTCTCAGTCTCAATTTAGAGTTCAGTAGGCAAACAGCAGCTGCTTACAACCATTGTGCTTAATACAGCCATACCACCAAGCCTGCCTATTCAGAAGAGTGTGCAGATGCACCATCCACTATAAGGGCTGCTTTGATGCCAGGCAGGTCACCTTATTTCCACTGCCTCAGCTTTATATTGCTCAATTAATGAGCCATCTCACATGGGTTAGAAAAGGCTTTTTAAAAAGTGAAGTAGAGTATTTGCAAGAATACTTTTATTTGGAGTCTTTGGCATGTTAGAATGGCCAAGTAGAGGATGAAATTTTATAGGTTTTCTATTTTGGCTGCTGTACAATGGCATCTTTATTGGAAGCTGTGACCCAACCTTTTATGATGCTATTTTGGAAAAGTTTTCTAGTAACATCACAACAAGAAGCTTGTAACTTCAAACAAAACTCAACTAGCTTCAGATTTTTGTGTTTTGAGTTTGCGTACCCTCGTCATATCTGTGTCTTCCCATAGTCAAAAGACTGTAGAATGCAGATTGGGTGTATTGGATGCTATAAAATGTTGGTAGATATACATTTGAGTGTGCGGTCTCTGTCAGAACATGTTAGTCCGGTGATATTTGGGCAACCTCTCCACAGCTTTCACTTTCTTTTGCCTAGTGTGTGCTACACCAGGCGACAGCTCCTCTGACCCTGAAAAGGAGTGGTTCAGAAAATGGATGGATGGATAATTGACAAGTGAATCAAATAATGCATGTCTTTAACATGTAGATAAGGGTTAAAGGGGCCTTTTGTTTATGGGTCTTAGCACTCTTTTCTTTTATAGGTCACTGTTGTTGGGTGTTTTATCTGCAAAAACATGCATAATGTATGTCCTGTCTGGATTGTTGTCAGGAGAAAATGATGTATATATGTTCATGTAAAGGAATGGTGACTGTGAGGAGGTGGGGGTTGAGTCTACAGTGGGAGGTTGTCTTGGACCAAAGGCATCTGTCTGGGAGTGGCTGTAATTGGCTGCAGTGTGGCACTGACTCATTAATATGGAGCCCAGGGGAAGGAGACAGCCAACTTCCTTCCTCTGTGTTTGGTTGTTTGACTGTATCTCCATTGATGCTAAACGCAGTGCTCCCAGGGCACCCTGTGCCTGTTGCCTGCTTCGTTAAAACCAAGAAAATGAATATTAATGTTATACAGACTGGAAGCTGCAGTAGCAGAAGGGGGTTGTCAGTCTAAAGGCTGTTACCACCAATCTCTGGGTGATCTTAATGGGGTCTATTCAGGTCGGTCCGATCCTGCAGGAAGGCATGCTCTATCAACATGCAAAGTGCTGTTGACATCTTATTTTCCCTGTCTACATGGGATTGTGGCACACAGTACTCCTAATCAAATACATAGGCCACACCATTAATCATTTGAAAATAAGACTTAGACATGTTAGGTGTAGTTGCATGTCTTCATTCTCTGTGGCCACATCAAAACATTTTGGGAGTGTAAATATATATTTATGGAACCTGCTGGTGCAGAGTGAAGTGAAATGACAAAACTGTGAGTGCACGGGCACCTGGAGTAGCTCCCCTCTTCCAACCTTGATCTCGGGAAGGCAGTAAATAGTCTCTGAAACCACCACAGTAACATTTATGACAGCGACTACTGCCTGTTTTCAATTTACTTGACACCGGTAACACTAGCAAGCAGACTTGTCATTTCATCCATAAATATTAGTAAACAGCTACAGACAGCAGGATCAGGAACTTTTTCTCCAACTGATGAACTTGCTACAAGGACAGACTGAATAACAAATCTGAAAATCTTTTGAGTGTCTGATTTATCAGTACATATTCGGAGAAGAGACATAGATCATAGATTAACTTTTAATGTCGAAAAAAATCCTGACACTTAAAGGAACTGTTTGACATTAGGGAGGTACTTTTTTTTGCAGAGAGTTAGACAAGAAGATTGATACCACTTTGCTATCTGCCTGTTAAATATAAGGCCACAGCCAGGACACAGTTTGCTTAGCTTAACATAAAGTCCCCAGCATGAGGAAACAGCTAGCCTGGTTCTCTCCGAAGCAAAGAAAAAAAGTACAATTACTTGTATGCCTCCACTAATCAGTCAAATTCCCAGGAATGGGGCAGATGTGACGATACAGTGACCCGGACCTTTGTCCACCAAAATCTAATCAGTAGCTCCAGCTGGATATTTGTGCCAAAGCTGAAGGAATTCCTTCAAAGTGTTCCTGAGATATCATGTACAATAAAATGGGCCGCACAGACAGACAACCCAGAAACACAATGCCTCTCTAAACTTTCTAATTAACATATTATATTTCTATAGTTTGTTTAATCTGTTCAAAAATGAAATGTAAAATGACAAGTTGAGGGGAGTTTGTGGACTATTTCTTGCCTGAGCACAGTGATTTCCTGGAATGACACCAAGCTCTGGACTGTTTCCCTGTTTCCCTTTATACTGTAACACAGGCTGAATGAAAGAGTAAGCTTTTTAAAAGCTGAGCCATGTGTGAACTTCAGAAGCTGCATTACTTATCATTTAAAGAAGTCTCAAAACTACCTAACAATTTATTCTAAAAAATAAAGCCTGCTGTATTTGGACAGTATTTGAAGGTGTATACAACATTAAAGGATTTAGCTAATACTGAAAATGCTTTCTCATGTGAATGTAGGGGGGAAAAGTCAAAGTTGACAATAGCATTGTTACATAATCAACCTTAAACAACTCATTAAGGTTGAGTGAAGAGACTGCTCAGACTACTAAAGTGTCAGTCCCTCCACCAGACTGTTATCTGTTGAATTATTAATTACAGAATACACAGAGCTCTCACCAGGGAGGAGCTCTGTATCCTCCGAGCAGACAACCACAGAGGGACATTCAAGGTCAAATAAAATAGGTTTCTTTGGCAACTATGTGAGGATAAAGACAGTGGAAAATACCTATAATTGTTTTAAAAAACTGCAATGTGGAAGTCTCCTCACTAGCCCTGCGGTCATATCGGCTCTTATTTCTGTTGAATTTCAGCAGCATTAATAAAACTTCAATTAACCATCAGGGGTTCATCTTCCAGCTCACCTTCCTAATCTAGTTTGATGGAAGCAGTTAAAGAATCAGCAGAGCCAATTTATATGGCTCCCACCTTAGCAGTGAGCAAAAGTATCACACACTTGTAGTTATAATAGAGATGCCCTTTCACTGTCAGATAAAATGTGCAAGTTTGCAGCATTTGGTGTCACACTTTCTTAGTCCTGTTTTTCTTTAGCCTCCTGAGTAATTTGTAGCTCTATAAATGCTGCAGATACAATGTAGACCCGATGTCACACTGGTCAATAGGATCTCACCCCTGATGGTTAAATTATTTAGGTACTTTGTTGATACACCCACACACAAACACACACAGGATGCTGTGAAAAGGTATACAAATCTCCAGTATTGCAGCAGCTTCAGTGGCCCACTGCCATTCTTCTCCAAGCAAATTAGAGGCTTTTAATGAGCGACCACACTGTCTCTCCTGTCTGTGTCGCAGAATTTCCACAGCTGGACTTTAGGGTCTAAAGACCCTCCATTATGTTTCCCCAGTAAATGAGATGAACTGCAATAGATTTTCTTTCTACCAGATCAGTACTCAGTTATGAGTTTCCTTATAGCTCCCTGTACAAATCACTTACATCAGGACCATCACTTTTACACTGCATGAATGTTTTGTCAAATTGTTCTAATTAAAGTAGATTATATTTGTGAAAAGGATCAATTATCAATTTCTTTAAGGTTGATTTAAATGCATTAATTAAAATAATTATTGAGTTCTAAAACCTCTAAGTTGTCACAACCATTAAATCATTCTGCGTACTTCAGCGTAACACTGATTCACACAACTTTCTGCTATTTCAGATTCTTTCCATGAGAAGTATTTGCAAATGCAAGCAAACCCAAATGTGCTGAAAAAAATCATCTCATCAGTATCATATCAATATTGTTTGCCTCAGACATTACACTGTAATTGTACTCCATCTTTTTCCTCCACAGAACATTTGAAGGACTTGAGAGACCACTGACCCGAGAGAAACAGTGAGCAGAATGAAAGGTTCCTGGTGTGTAGGTAATCACATAACAGCATAGTTGCTACACTTTTGAAAATAATCTTTATGTCTTTAAAGAAACAATTGCTCAAAAATACCTCAGCCAAAATACAGTGCACACCTGGTGGTTTGGGTGCTGTGATTGCTTTTATCCTCCCCTGGTTTTAGTAAAATAAGAGTCAGGTCAATATCTAAAGGGCATTTTGTTGACTATGAACCATGGATGTGTCATCTCCTTAAGCCCAAATGTTTTTGAAGGAGATAATACTTGTATCCAACAGTATAAAATAAATAAATTTCACAGCATATTTGGCTGCGCTTCTATGATAAATAACATTTATATCTGTCAGTTGTTCTACACTCTGCAGTTACATATAAACCACTTAATTAATGAACTGTACCTACCAACATTTATAAAATTATATCTGTTGTTTATTAAGCTTCATCCACTCACCCATCCATTATCTATACTGCGTATCCTAATGAGGGTCATGGGGGGGTTGGAGCCAATCCCAGCTGACATTGGGTGAGAGGCGGAGTCCACCCTGGACAGGTTTCCAGTCTGTCACAGGGCTGATACGTAGACAAACAACCACACACACTCACACTCACACTCACTCCTAGATTTAATTAATTTAGAGTCGCCAATCAACCTAAGCTGCATGTCTTTGGTCTGTGGGAGGAAGCCGGAGTACCCAGAGAGAGCGCACGCAGGCAACAGGAAGAACATGCAAACTCCACACAGAAAGGCCCCGGGTCTGCCCAGGCTCAAACCCAGAACCTTCTTGAGGCGACAGCACTAATCACTGCTCCACCCTGCCAGCTTTATTGGGCTTTAGCAGATAAATAGAGTATTTTAACTCTTAAATGCAGAGCAATGTGCAAGGGCTCACCTGGAAACCCTCCATCTATTAATTAGAATGGGCAGCTGCAATGCTGTTGATATACTGTGTGACTACAGCTGAAGTGTTTTATAATGATGCATGTGTTGTATAATGCTAAAATCTGTATATATATGCTAATAATTCAATGATAATGATCATCACTTTTATTCATCTGCTAATATTAACTACCAGTCACTCTAGCAGTACAGTGATGAAGGCTGCTGATCAAGGCGGCATTCAGAGGCCAGAGACTTCACAAAAAGATGCTGATGTTTTTGTTTAAGTCAATAAATAGTACTTTTTTTAATGGAAATGCTTCCTGTCAATATGTGCACAAGACAAGGGGGGGCATCTTGCAGCTGTCAAATTGTCAAGCAAGGTAAGGGTTATTTAATGCTCTCTCCATATACTTTATCATGTAAAACACACAAACATGGTGGGGACTTGTTGGCTGCCAGTCTTCCCCACATCCAGGGTGAGCCAGTGGATTGATCACCTCAGCTGGATGTTCCAGCTCTACTTCCACTTTAAAGCCATTAATCCAGGCATGTCTTTACACTTTCGCTTTGTTGTTTCTTGGCATAAGTGTAATGAAATCCCAATCTGTTTCATGTGCTTGTGGCTCCAAAACATGATGTATACTTTTGTCATTTTCACAGAATGTTGGGTTTTGCAATGCTCTACTTCTGAACCCATACGTGCTTGGTCCCTGCCTGTAAACATTTTAATGAGGTGTATGCATAATCATTATGAATCCTCCGTTCCTCTAGTATATGTTTTTTTATATGTGAAAACTGCAAAATAATAAATCAACTTACCTGAAATTCTAATGATCTAGAAAATAATTTATGCAGCCCACAGTAAAGGTCAAACTCTTGGGTAAATTTACATCTGACACCCCAGAAGTATAATATTTAAATATTCCACTTTACCTTTCCATGAGCTCAACTAAAAAAGCTATATGGGATTTAGTCTATTTGTCTGCAACTACAGAAATGCATGTGTTTTTATACATTCTTCTCAAATAACCAAAATCAAATTAAAACAAAGAAGTCATGGAATTAAATAAAACTACATAAATCTAGTTTCATATTCTAGGTTCATGCCAAGTGTAAACACTGTACTTGTGAATTATGCACTCAACCTCTATTGTTGTCCATTTAAAGTATATAAGTAATGTGAAGAGCTAGGTTCAAGTGCCAGGTCTATACAGAACACATTTAGAGTTGAGTCTCTCTTTTCATTTATCTGTCTCTCCATCTCTCTGTACTGTATATCCATCTACATGTATGCACTTACAATATACTGGCAAATATGACACTTGATGAAGGTGATTAACCTAGATGTAACTTCTGAGAGGAAAAACATCCATTACAATTATAAAGGTTTCTGAGGATGCATTCATTGTTGTGTTAATGAGATGAATACTTGGAATACTTATCTGTAATGTCATCAGCTCAGGTAGGATTGTACTGCCTACCATTACTGATCTCTGAAAATAACCGTCTACTATGCTGTATATGTAAGAGGTCACGCATGCACATCTTTATGCCACGATCAATTGTTGTCCCCTTATCCGGCGCTAATCTATTTATCTTGAGTGGAAAGGGAGTAGTTGTGGATGTTTAATCCAGGATTTGAAAAGGTTAACTTTTCTGCTGTGTGAGTTGAACAAATATCAAACAAATGAAATGTCAAAGTTGGTACCCCTGAACAAATGAAATGTCAGGGACAATACCTTGGCCCAAGCCCTGCTTCACCTTGCTCATCATCTCCAGGCAGTCATATTTGTAGTCGGACATAAGAGGGCAGACCAAATAGGCTTTCTTTCACAGAGCTGACCTATTAGCACCCTATTATTTGAACGGTTGAATGAAAAGTGCTAGGGGTCCCTTCAACCCACCATGGAAAGTTAAGGTCACAAAGTAAAATTCTGTACTTTTCTCCGTCCTTTGGCTCCCGAGACTGCTTTCTCCCGTTTCCTCTGTCTGGCACAGAGTCTCGGTTTCTCCCACTGTGGACATTCTCCCATGCACCGACTCAAACTATCAAAACAACAGTCATTAGGCAAATTTGCTTTGGTGCAGGATTAAGTTAATTATCATGGAATTATCACTTCATTAAAGCAGGCAGAGATAAATTATCTCTGATGAAACGAATGCAAAATGAGAAAATAATGATCAGGTCAAAAAAAAAAAAAGAAAAACTAAGAAAGAAAAAATTAAGAAACAACTTGTCAAAGGAAACTCTTGTCATTGTGTTCTACAGAGTTAGAGGCCTTGCAGCACAGCACAACATGACAGAGTGGGTTTCCACAGAGAGGAGTGAGGACCACCCACCCTTTTGCCCAATGGAGTCCAATTTTCCTCACAACGCCTCAACAAAGAATGTACTTTTCCCTAAGAACTGAGAGTATCATCAATCATGCCAAATACCAATTTTAATGAATGCCTACATCAGCCCAGTAACACTCTTTGTTTCCAGGCAAAGGATGCGAAGCTGCAGCACAACCAGAATGCGATTTTTATAATTGTGATGATTTTCTTTTCACCCAGGAGTGTTTTCATGGTCACAAGCTTTGCTGTTGACTTCACTGACAGGCAGCCTGATGACACTGTCCAGGCAGGCTCATATTGTGTATTTACTTACAACCATAATTATAAAAACTTGAAAAGCACTGGCTGTAATCTTTCTTAATTTGTGAAAAAAAAAAAATCTGGCAACTTTGCACTGATAGATATTTATCAGGTGATTTGCTCAAGTCTTAACACTGAATTAATCATTGGTTTCCACGCTGCAAGGGAGGACTGGGAAATGTGTTTAAGGCATTGATATTGCAAGTTTTAAAAGCCATTTCTTGCTTGATTTAATGAAAGTATTGGTAGAGTACAAATTGTTTTGTCACGCCATTAGCTCTTTCCCCATGATCTTTGTAAGGTGCTGGAAGAAGAAAATAAAGCCTTTGGGGTGCTCACATATAGTTTTTTTTTTCTTATCCCAGCAATGAAGGACTGTGACATAAGGACGCTGGTCGCTGCTTGATTTATAATTATTACAATAATCTATGGCAACATTATGCAGTAGTAGGGGTCCTATCTTTCCATTGCTTAACCATATTCACAGATGTGGAGTTTGTAAGAAATAAAGTATTCTTATTAGGATTCATCCCCTGTTTGGGAGAAAATATAGTGGGAGGTTGGGCGACTGAAAATACTGCCTCAAATTATGCTTGACCTTTTATCTCCTGTATAATTTATTCATGCACTCATTTGTTGTTTTGTGGCTAAAAAATAGTGCTTTCCCTTCTTGATGCAGCAGGTCTGATGATCATTCTGTTGCCTATTGTTGCGGCCTCAGACTGTAATATGTCATGTTATGTTGACTGACAGATTGTTGCTCTACAAACTGAAAAAAACGTGTTTGTTTGAATGTAGTGCAACCCTTAGGTGATATGGATCTGGTCTTGAGTTGCCTCAGTTACTGTTTGTAAATTCAGTCGGGGGGAGCATTGTGTCATGCAGAGCGCAGCAAATCTGTCTCGAACAAAAGACGTCGACTTTGAACGAGGATGAGTTACAATCAGTTGCTTCATTATTTAAAACAAAAACGTGGAAGCTCAATTACTGTCACACTATTGTCGGAGAACGAGTAGGTGAGTGAAGAATGACAACAGAAAACTTTGGTCTATCCCTCGCTGCTGTTACCATTAACCTCCTCTCTTCCACTAGAATAGCCTGCTTATACAGTGTTGATCCTAAAGAACTGAACCACTGATGCTGTAATACAGACTCCTCAAATTCCCTTAAGCACCCTTTCCTAATGGTGGCACGCTGTTCCATAAAATGCTAGTTTGCTTTGAAAATTGAGGTGCAGGTTCATTAGAAGCTATCTTGTTGAATGTGAGATAAAGCTCTCTAGTGAGTCAGGAGCGAGGCCAAGGAAACCACCAGAGACAAGGGGAGTGGAGTTTCTGGTTGTGAATCCACAGTAGGTTTTCACCCTGTCTCCCTCTTCTGAAACGTTGGTGGTTGAACATAAGCCTTCCATTGTTGTGTTTCATTGGAAAACCTCACACCAGGCTACCTATTGTGCATGAGGTCACACTGACACTTACCCTTCAGGGTTTCTAAAAGCAGCACAACCATTGCTTTTACACATCAATTTGAATTCAGTCACCGCACTGAATTTCAACTGAAACCACTTGGACAATTATGAACAACAACTATTTGTACAAAATGCACAAGAAGGTGTGGTAAACCAAGTGTTGGTAAATCTTCAGCTGTTATATGCTGAAATCAAGGAGTTTGCCGATACACTACTCACAGCAGAGATATATACACTGCTGTGCTGAATATCCTGGTGTCGAGTAACAAATTATATAAACCACCCACAAGAAATCTGTGAACATGTATTTGTGATGATGCAGCTATTTGATACCGTGGCCAGAGCACATTTCTTTTATTCTAACGCTTTATTCCAGACACTATTTCACATTCTTTTGTGATGTGGAGAAATCTGTCTCAAGCAATTTGTACAACTTAGGCTCAACAAAAACCATGTCCAATTTCCTCCAGCTGCACTAGAAGCTACACACACCTGTAGTCTAAGCTCCAGGCGATCCATTCACTTTTTTACTGAGATTTAAATAACACAGAGAACAATGAGCAGCGTGCGTTGAAACACACCGCTCCAATTTCTGCTCCCTTTGTAATCTTTCATTCTTCTCTGCAGATCAGTGAAATCCATTCAATGCCTCTTTTAAGAAATACAAAAACTTTATTTACAGCGGTTTTTGTAAATATTATACATATGGTAAATGTTTTGTTTTGCATAAATGTCCTTAATTAGCTTGACAAATTGTTTCATATTTGGTACAGTATGTATGCACAATGCATGTTTATGTATCTATGCATACTGAAAAGATACATGAACAGATGATGCTCCCTAACATCTCCACTGTTTGTAAATGTTTGATTGGCTATTTGCTAGAGGCAACAAACACTAATTAGTATTTGATCAGGTCTGCATTGGTAGTGAGCTCAAACTGGCTGGTTGGAAGCTGATGCACAACCTGCTTGTTATGCAGAATAGGCTTTAGAATAAAGTGGAATGAAGTGAAGCAAGTAACTGAAACGTTTTGAAAGCTACAGTACGTAATACCACCCAAATGATGTCTTCTTGAAACATAATTAGGAAATGTTACTGACGGAAATATCTGCCACATGACTGAGCGCTGCTACAAAGTCAGCAAAATGTTCATTAAGTATTTCAATGACTTCACTGAAACACAGAACAACACACCAGCACAGAAGACCACCCCTCCCCCGGGTGAACAGGCTGTGTGTCTGTCTGCAGCCAGCGTGAAGAAGACCCTCTTCAGGATTAACCCACGCAAGGCAGCTGGACCGGATAACATACCTGGTCGTGTTTTAAAGGACTGTGCTGAGGAGCTCAAGGATGTCCTCACAGACATCTTTAACATCTCTCTGAGCCAAGCAGTTGTTCCCACGTGTTTCAAGGCTGCCATAATAATTCCAATTCCAAAGAAGCCCCACCCAACCAGTTACAATGACTATCGGCCTGTAGCACTGACTTCAACTATTATGAAGTGCTTCGAGCAGCTGGTCATGCAGAACATCAGGTCCATCCTTCCTCCCTCTCACAACCCATTTCAGTTTGCATACAGGTCAAACAGGTCCACAGAGGATGCCATTACTGCTGGTCTCCATCCAGCCCTCACCCACCTAGATTCAAAGAACTCTTAAATGCGAATGCTGTTCCTAGACTTTAGTTCAGCATTCAACACAATTCCCCAGCAGCTTATACAAAAACTTGGACACCTGGGACTCAAAACCTCTCTCTGCAACTGGGTGCTGGACTTTCTACCTGGGCACCACTGAGAGCATCATCACTGAGTGGTACAGAGCCTGTACTGCCTCCTGCAGAAGGACCCTGCAATGCATAGTGAAAACAGCCAGCAAGATCATCCGTACACCTCTGCCTTCCCTCACAGACATCTTCAACACCTGCAGAGCCATCAGCATTGCTGATGACACCTCCCGCCCCGCACACTCCCACTTCAGACTCCTGCCTTCAGGGAGAAGGTATCGGAGTCTTCAGTCTTCACTCCACCAGACTTACAAACAGCTTCATCCACCAGGCTGTGAGGATGCTGAACGCTGTCCATTTCCCCCATTTTTATTCTACTTTTATTCTATTTTAGTTTCCTAAATGGTAATAGCGTTCAATACTAGGTGAGAGAGAAACGGTATTTCAATTTTCTGTATGTCCTGCACATATAGTGAATTGACAATAAAAATCTTTGATCTTGATCTTCATGTTTTCCCTTTGTGCAATAGAATAATAGCAAGTAAAGTATAACAAACATTTTCATGGTTGTGCTTAACACTCACAGCACTTGGTCAAGGTTGAGGAAGGATCTTGGTTGAAAAGGGATATTTTTACTTTATTAAGATTGAACCAAGACCATGATCTTCCCTATCCTTAACTAAAGAATATTTGCTGCCTGAATCTAAGAACGGACTCAGAATACAAACATTGGTCTCTGGTGTCAAAGCTTTGTGCCTGATGCACCCAAAACCAACCGCAACCTACAAAAATGTAAAACGTCCTTTGTTGGAAAAACATGGGAAGGAATTACATCTGCACAACACATATTTGTCAAACCAAATGAGTAGTATATACAGTAAATGTCATTTCTAGTGGACAGGGGTGGAGCACAAGAACACAGCTGACCAGGAACAGTATGACTGTCTTCATGTTTTCTAGATATTATTGTGTGTTAAGATTCCTTCATTGTAATTATCATCATATGATAGTTAAAATGGTGTGGCAGAGTAGTTTAACACAAACCTCCATGGCTTCTGTTGGTCTTAGAAATACAGTTGAACTGCAAAAAGCTGATATCGTTATCTCAACATTTTATGTTATTAATAAAAACAAAAACGAATAATTTATTAATAGCCAGCATTTTTGGATCAGACTCGATTCATTCTTGTTCACTACTGCAGCTCAGAAAAAACACCCTTGTTCTGTCACAATGGGACTTTACAGCGAAATTAATTAGGTGACATGCAGGACAAAACAAGTGGTTTTTATATTCCAGCTGTCAGCCTTTTATCTTTCTGCTGTTTAAATTACTTTGTTTGCTCTGCCAGCAGGAAAATACAGTATATCTTTCTTTAAGCACCATAAGCCTTCTGCTACAAATGTTATTTTTCTCCCTGAGAGCCACACAGTAGGTCAGGATAGCTATCTGGGTATATGCAGGACTGTGGTTCAATGGGAAACTCAATACTGTAATTGTCAATAGCATATTGAAGCAGCAGTGTTGAAGTTGAAGAGAACAAACTTTCCTTCATAACAGACATGCAAGGTCACAAGAGAGAAAGCAATGACATATGTTTTATGACTCTTTTATTACACACATTTTTACTATCTTTTTTGTAGTATTTGAAGTGTTTCATGTTGGGAAAGTAAGCTAAAGGACTGTAGCCACAGAAAATATATGTGTTTGTCCATTTACAGTTGCTGTTGTGGTAGAGCTGACAGCCACTATAGCTGAAATCTATGTTCAGGCAGTTTCTTTCCCAACCCCCCAGCTGCAAGTCACTTAAAAACATGACAGACGTTATTTAACTGGAGGGGGGGTGGCT